CTTACAGAAAATCTATTGTCCCGTATCTCGCCAGAAAGAAATTTCTCCCAAACCATGAACTCATTGGTGAAAATATGCGCAAAATGCCAGTCCAAACCAATGATAAACACTATTGCAGGCCATTGGTTTGGAGACGTTGTTGTTGTAATCTGTTTCACTTTTTGAATTGCTATATTGAATTCCCCATTTTTCTAATGTTGAAACACTGTGGTTACACGGTTGTTCAATATCCACCCACCCCCCCTCCCTTCGGGGATGCGCAAAGCGATTCCTTGACTTGGCTCGACTTGATTTGGCTGGATTGCATACACACGCACACATCTGAAATTTTGTGTGCATAATCAAATATTAAATTCTGTTGGGAGTTTCGAACCCCTTTGGCATTGCTCATATTCATATTCTGATTGATTTACGCTAGCCCTGGGGAGAAATATCCCACACATTTTTGTCTATGTTTATGGTGGCGCAGTGGTTTAGTCGCTGTCAGAGGTGTGCTTTGGACCCTATGGTTCGGGGTTCGAGTTCCGCCAACGCCACCCAACTTTGGTGGTAGGCAGCTTTGCCGTCGTCCGGTTCAATACCACACGTAACCTATCGGGGTCTTCTGTGATTCGCCACTCCAAGTCCCCGGGCTTATGTTACTGGCTTCCATCACTGAACAGCAAATCCTTGTGACTATGGGGTTTACTCCGTCTGCTGTTCATCACACGAAAGTGTGCAATAAAAATATAAGATGATTATGCGGAAGAAACAACTGCTTGATTTCGTCCTTGTCCATCTGTTGAAAAACGTGGATTTCATTATGAATACTTTTCAATCGGTCTCGATTTTGTTTTGTGATTACGTGAAATGGAAGAGATGCAAATCGGTACGTACTTGGGCACGGACCGAGTCACATGGTTAACCACTCTAAATCTATTCCATTTACACAAGTCGCAAGTATTTCCAAATGTTTTGAGTATCTCATATATTTTTGTGGTAAGTCCTTTGTACCTTCAAAAATATGGAATGCACTTAGAAGGATGGGATTGCTCCAGGCGCCGTTCTCACTTTGAGATAGGGGACAGAGTGAAGAAAGTGCACAGATGCTGCAACCTGTACAGCTACAAATCGCCCGGCGGAAGATTTTCAAATGAGGCGATGGCACGAATGCTGAAGCCTCGATCAACGTCTGTCAACATGAGATACCTTTGGTACCGCGGAAACATTCGACCGTCCATAAAGGGGTCAGATATATTCCAGCAGCACTTCTGCCCATAGTGCTGTGTGCTACAAAGATATGGTAGTGACTAGAGAAGCTCAAACACAGACTAATGGTGTTTGAATAGCGATGTTTATCCCTTATCGCTCAAGTTAGATTGGATAACTGGATAAGCTACTCTGCGATTGGTGTAGAGTTTTAGGTATTTGGAGTCATGTATTTGCATTAGTACTTGATGTTATGTGTTATAGGACAGGGTCGTGTGCAAGACCGGATAGATTTTCTCGGTTAAGCCCCTTTCACCCGGAGCAACTCGGGTTTGCAATAACTCCAAGAGTGGTCAAACTATGGTCATGAACAGTTGTGCGAGTCATCAGGGGACTTGGTGAACTGATTGATATTTTATCGCTTTACGGCAGAGGACCTCGTGACCAAGCGACATTCACGTGGCAACGATGTCGCGGTGGCAACGTCACCAAATTGTCACCTCGAGGAAAGTGTGTTCGAATTCCATCCACCACCACCACCACCGATTGATTTTTCCAAATTATAAATTGTATGACAGCCGTTGATTGGTTTCTTCTCTCTTCCTGAAAATTGTATCTTTGTAAATTCAATAAAAAGAAGGAAAAACGAAATGAGACATTGGACAGCTGTTTCAACGTGGTTGGGTCTCATCAACAGTGCGAATCCATCGACCTCACTGGAAATCGAACTCGGAACCTCACAGGTAGAATGCAGTCAAATAAATAATCAGGTTGCAAAACTTTCCAACCCAGCCGTAACCCTGGTGAATAGTACTGAGATGAGCGCGGACCGATACTTGCAACAAGCTCGCATGGATAACTTGTGCTTGATCGTGTACATTCAAATAAGAAGCCATCTGATCAGCTGCTCGGTGACCGAGTGGATAGTATGCTTGCGTTCTACCTGTGAGATCCCGGGTTCGATCCTCGGTTGGGTCGATGAATTCACTCTGCAGCTGGTGAGATTCAACCCGGTCGAAACAGCTGTACAGTGCTTTCTAGCTTTTCAGCTCACGCCTCATTTACATGATGAATTCATCATATAAAAAAAGAGAAGTTTAAGCGATATTTTCCTGATTAATGCTCACAGTTGCTCAAGTAAATCGACTGACGATGGACACATTTTACTCACTGTACACGGTGTTTCAGGTTTTTTGTTTACGCCTTTCTCATCCGTCAACTTGATGGGTAGCCAAACGACGGTAGCTAGAACCGTCACCTGACAGGACAAGATTTTCATTTGTGCAAACTGAAAACACACAGTTTTCTTTCTTAAGCTCAACACCATGAAATACACGAATGATAGATTTGAACGGAACTTGCTTAGCTTCATTCACACGCCGAATCAGCAGTGGGTGCTGGTCCAGGAAGCTTTAGAACTTGCACAAATTGTTTTTGAGCACACAGAGATGGAGATTGTGTAGACGACTGGCTACCGCTTCTGCTGTAGCCAGCATCTGACAGCGGACCTAAATCTATAATCGCCCATGAACTTTATACAGGGGGCGGAAAGCCTCGGACACGTCCCCAATGTGATTTTTTTAAGCTAGGTGTGTGAAACCACTGCACTGGTCCGGTGTTCGGCCACGTGTTCACCAGGTCCTCGAAACAATGCCGTTTACTTTGTTTGCTGTTCATCACACTAAACAAAACAGTAAGAAATACATGAATGATAGATTTGAATAGAACGTGCTCAGTTTCATTCACACACACACACACACACACCGAATCAGCAATCCAAATTTTTTTCAAAATGCAATATTGGCTTGGCCAGCCACATTCCTGTGAGTTGCTCTCTTACGTTCTTAGTTCTGTGTCACCATACTCGGATCAGTGGGCCCAAACACACAGGGTAGCCTTTTCTCACATGATATGTCAGATGGTGAATAATCAGTCCAGAAAATCCGCGGGAAAATTGTGCACGGATAACTCTCGCTCCATGCCAGTTTCAGATGGCCCTAATTTTATTCGTTCTGGCAACACACACACACAGATTCATATCCCTGCGCCAAGTTCATGCAACCAGCCACATTCATGCCTATCATCTGTTCGTACTGACATCCGTCCTGGAAACTGGATGGCCTATTGGTGGGAAAGTGAAAAGCCTACTTGAAAGATTTAGTCCTTTCAGGGTTTTGATTCATTTTCCCTCCTGTTTTTGATTGTTTCTGTGTAATCCATACGGATCCGATGGATATGGTATCTGCTTCACAAAAAAGCAAGAAATATATATATGTGTGTGTGTGTGTTCAGAATGAAACTTGTCCAACGGCTGAGAGTACATCTGACATGAATCTGGAGAGAGAATCTGAAACGCACTGTGCACCGAACGACATAATTTAGTGTCGAGCATTAACAACTGTGTGCAATCGGGCATTTGCTACCGATAGAATGTAAGCGTACTATCGGTTCTTGGTTGATTGAAGGGCAAGAGAACACACTTTTCTCATATGTTATGCGTGATTACGGTTATTGAATGAGTCCTTGCTAGCCATTCCCGTTGTGGAACTGAGATTTCATCTCAGACTGCGGAATATCACCGACCCAATCACCTAATCAATCTATACCCGGTAGTTCGGTAGCTAAACACGCCTTTAATTTGCAGTAATTTCTCTTTTTCACACAGATGAGTTGTGCGATTTCCTATACAAAAGTGACAATCAGAGACTACTTAGCTATCCCCTGGATTCGGTGGGTAGGCTACTTGCATTCGACAGTGTTTGGTAGGTCAGGTGTTCCAGTGTTTTCGGATTCGCTAGACGCGAATTAATGATATGATCAAAGATAATGATACTATAACAGTCTCAGCATGCTCCCCTGAGTTTTAGTTGTGAAGAGATTTGCTCTTTAATAATAAAATCATAATAATAACAATAGTAATAGTAACAAATGTGTACTAAATTTGAAAAGAGAAACCGGTATAGCAACATTGTACGGTTTATGTCCGGAACGAGTTCGCTGCACCTGTTGCGTCAGCATCTGTAGATTGGAGATCACGGTTTTCTTTCTATTAAAAGGTGATGACGTAACTAATCTATTCTAATAACGGTTACGATCGGCTGTCAACCGGACTGACTATGCAGCCAACCCCAGGATTGTGCACATGACAAGAAGCATACCCGTCCCTCTGTGTACGCCAGCTCAAACATAATCTATCATTTCCGATGTAAGTACGGTGACACTTACGCAGGTAGAGCAGAATGATAATCGGGTTTTATAACACATTCCAAACTGGGTTCAACTCAGGTTTACCATGTGAAGGTCTACAAAGCCGGAAACCGATAAGGACCGTGCTTACAAAACACCAAACTCTTCTATTGCCGGGCAAGTGATTGATGACCAAACACCTCGTTGATCGATAGAGCTTTTCGAGTAATTTATGCTGATTAAAACGTCAGAATGCACAAGATCGCCGAGGAAATTGTAATCAACCGATGGAAACTAATTCTGCGACAGCAAAAAGGATTTGTTTATCACATAGGATTTGCTTTGGTGAGCCTTCACCCATTCACGTTTGTTTATTATGCAATTCATTCTACATAAAAGAATGTATTTGTCTGTCGTAGGGACCAGTTGAGTCACACCGCAATCATCCAGAACTCAAACTGGAGCAATACTGTCTTACTGGGTTTTTCTTCAAAAGTATGCTACTCAAATAATAAATGAAGCTGACCGGAGAAATGATTCCAGTTAACCATTCATGATTTGTTTGTTTTACCAGCAAAAGTTGATTATGCTCAATTCCCAATCCCTGATCCTGTCTCTATCCAGGAATGAACATTTTCGTGGCATTCTTTCTACTCCTTCTTCTACTGGCGGATTCCACACCTCAAGCTTCAACTAGTGTGCCATATATCGGTGAGTGGTTGGGTGTGGAAATGGTGAATTTTGGTGGATTTTTGAAATTCTTTGTTCATCGACTAATTTTCTTTGATCTATGTAGACATTACGTATTCATCCTTTGATCATATATTGCATATATAATGGCATGGGCTAATTTCGACGACAGTTGCTGGTAAATCAGTGGTAACACAACAAAGCCCCAGTAAAAGACAATTAAAATTTATTTATAAAAAAACTCATAGGCATGAGGAAAAATGGGTAATCCACCTGGACTATTCTCCACATTGGTTGTGGACAACTTTGCTCCGCTGTGATCAAATTTAACCATCGTCTTGCTCCGATATTATCGGTTTTGTCCCTCTTGGTTTAGGTCCTGATGGAGAAATTCCGTTGATTGTGCAATAAATTGGGCTTCAGTTCACATCGAAACACTTGCATTAGTCAAGGGCTGAGTCATCGGATTTATGTTTCTTGAAATATATTTTCAGTTCTTGCAGTATTAGGGATAATGCGTGAATAATTTATAGCTAAATAATTTAGCAATTTATTTAAGCTAGAAAAGTTTCACTAATTGGCTTATTTAATGCGCACTGAATTAAAAGAGATAAGCTATTTGGAATACGTGTGTTCAACTTAATAAATAATCTCATGAAACAGGAATCACTCGTTAGAAAGAATGAATTTCCATCCTGCTTTGCATAAAATATTTTCCAAATCTGAGCTGTAACTTACGCACTAGTACAAATTTCAAAGCAACACTCAAGATCGCACTAATTCAAACGGTGATGGAAAAGAACTGAGAACATAGAAGAAGAGATCAAGTCCGGAGTAAATTCACTTCATCCATGGCCATCAATATGCAGGTGTGATGCTGGAAACTGAAATGTATTTCCAGAATGAGAATCTTGTAGCGGGAGTTTGATCAACACCTGTAATGACAAAGACGCCAACCTGCCGTGGCACGGGAACAGTATTTGGATGAGGTGGCGTTGAACAAAACTAAAAGTGATTGTCTTGGTCCACGTGGTCGTCAAGTAAAGTATACGAGGGAAAGATCTGGTTACACCGAGCGTTTCGTTCAGAACTGATATATTAATTAGTAAGAGGAATGTTTCTAAGATGAAGTCTGATTTGGTTATATTGAGGGAATGTTTGATTAGTAGTACGTGATAAGGTCTAGAAACTAGCAACGAGAGGGAGGGAAAAACCATGTATTGGTGAAACTAAAAGGGAGCATTGAATATGTATTGCTGCAGTTAAAATTTTCTACAGACAGCCACAAATGCCCCTCCAGAATCGGTGAAGGAAATGGCACGCAACAGTCAAATGATAAGGTAAAACCTGAATGAAGCCGGTAAGGAATTATGCACACATTGGCAATACCAAGGCTTATTTACCGCCAAATCTGGGAAAATGTTGAGCGTCCAAACAATTAGTACCACGAAGAGAATAACGACAGTTGGAGTTTAACTGACCTCTTTAGTCAGAGTCACTCTATGTCATCACACCACTTTCAGTCATTTTTAGCCAGCATTTAAGTTTATCAATCTGTATGTTGTCCGGATTCAACTGAGGCTTTGATGTATATGACACAAGTATTCGTTTGAAATTGATCATCATTAGTGAACGTTGAATCCGAGATCTTGGAAAACGAGGAGCGAATGTTTCCACTTGACCAGTGAGATCATGTGCATTCTTGGACTAGCGCGACTACTTGGTACTTGTCAAACGAAACGCCTTCTGTTAGAGAATAAGCGTACGCCCTGTAAAATTCTTTGTTCTGGGTCAACCAATCAAATGATGGATAACTGAACTCAGATAGTTGATCGGAACCGAGATCCAATCAAAACGGATGACAACGATCCAGTCAATCAGTCGTTTGATATATGTATTCCAATTTCCAATTCGTTGTAAATACACACGGATTTTATACGATAAAGGAATTTCTACACGATTCTAGCTGTTTTCTACCCATCTGTATTTGAAATTGGTACCTGATTGAAAAACATCCGAAATTCAGTTTATAGAGGAATTCGTGAGGTTATACCACTTTTTTCATCCGTCCGAACCAAATATTAGGGGACCAGGAGCTTTAATGATTTCAGATGATTAGTTGTACATTTTGAAGTATTTTAGTCGTAGTGTTATAATTTCAAAAGGCAATGCTCGGTCGAGCGAAGTTCTTTACTGCAGATAACAGTTAAGGCATCATTAATTTAGCACGCATATAACAGAAATCTCATTCGAAACACATCATCGCAGTTCCTGGCAGCACACCGAGCAATGCATCGAGCAGTCGGTAGTTATTCTTTGAGACAAGGCACTTTTCCCTCGATGGTTTTGTTAATTCTTGATCGTTAAAAGAAATCACCAACTGTATACTACTCACAAATGTGAGTAGTACCTCACGACAGTAATAGTACGGGTAATTCTAGGAGTGGACATGACCTGAAAACATGAGTTATTGCACCCGGTAGATTTCTTTCTCATTATTTTTCAATTTTTATCACTTTCTATTTAATGCACAAGTATACACTTTTCAGGAATGGAGAAGCGGCCAATCAAAGAACTGCCATAAAACAAACAATGCGGGAAGTCAGGCGGTAGTGGTGCTGGGATTCGAACACACGTCCTTCGCAATGATAATTTGTTGACGTCACCACCGGGTTACCGCCGCCCCGTGCAATAGGAATGCACTTAAGACGGGAGTAAAATATTTTTAGTGCAGCAGTGTTAAATTCTGTACAGCTACCCTGAAAGAAAGATAGCGAAGCGTTTTCATCATACATTACGATCATAGATTTCGTGAACAAACCGCACAAAGTATCGTTATTCCCCTCTCAAGCTGATATGATATCTCGTTTACAAGTGTTGCCATTGAATCATATTCATTGATTGCGTAATAATTAAACTGATCATCGTCTTTTGTGGTCCCCGTTTCAGGTTATTATTACTGTTTGAACATGATCCTCATCACATTGTCCTCATTCTTATCGGTGATTGTGATCAATCTGTATTTTCGGGGAGATCGCCGAAATCGTGTTCCCTATTGTATTCGAACGGTAAGTTGCTTTTGGGTGTGTGTTCTAACCGAATTTATTTATTTCATAATTGTTACCATTGACGCTCAAGTAATAAAATCAAATAATCTAACAGTCAATCGATCGTTCAATCAACCATTTCATCTATCCATCTATCTATCTATCTATCTATCTATCTATCTATCTATCTATCTATCTATCTGACTGTCCGTCTGTCGGGTTAGCTAAGAAACATGAATTAAACGGTTAAATGCGCAGAAGGGCCATGAGGCGAGCCGTGTCCGACACTTAACATTTGTGAATTCCAATGGTTGTGCTTTTGAGTACTTACAAGAGGGATCTTGATTATGGACTGGATTGTTTTGAACGATTCTCTTATTCGGTTAAAGGGAGATCTATACAGTCAGTGGTAGGCACCAAGTCAAATGCCCCAGAATACGACTGATTGGTGTTGCTTGACTCTTCCCAGTTTAATCACACTTTTCATGAAAATCGCTGAAATGAGACCAAGCCAATGGAACACGACATTCATAACACCCCATTCTACTGACCGATTAAAGTTGAACGTGAGAAGCTGACTCCTCAGCCAGGAGGCGACTGAACAAATGGCTTTTCTACTTGTGACCGAAATTATATGCACACACACAGTACTGGCCGAGTATGATGCACTAAGATATTTTCTTTATGATTAAATGGAGTTTCATTATATTTATCACCTGTATTGATGCTTTAAGTACGGACAATATTTTATATCTTGTCTACTTCGATCTACGTAGCTTCTAGGCTGCATGAGTGTCAATTAAACGTGCCTGACCTTGAGTATCAAGATTAAATCATCTCAACATGAAAACTACAAACTTTACCAAGTATCAAAACACAATATTTCCTAATAGGAATGACTCAAGAATTATCCTAAATTATTTCCACAAATCCTTGTCATCTCGATTTTTTGTTATGAGGCATTGTTTTACCTAATATATAATTCATTATGGTAACTTTATTGAACAGCCAAATGAAATTCTATCACAACCCAGAGAGATTGCATCAAATAAGGTTTCTTAATAATAATCTATGTTTGATATCCAACTCAATGAATCTGAAAAATACCACTTCAATCAAAGTCAACCTTGAAATCAAGGTTTCAATGTGATTGAACGTCTGTTTTCGGTTTTGATGAGAGATGTCAATGTGCCACCTGTACATTGGAGGCAAAAGTGCGATACGTAATGGAGCATAAAATAGAAAATGACTTTATAACAAAGTTGGTGGATTCGATACCGAAGAGACTCGAAAAAATCCTAAAGAACAAAGGTAGACCGATCGACTATTAGTTTACATAAACTTTACATCTTACTTAGTATCAATGTTAATTTGTTGTAAATAAAACTGTTCCATTCTCTTCAGTTACCTCTTAACTCGTCATGGTCTAGGTCAACCGCTACTGACGAAATGAGAGTATCCGCTACATTCTGAACCATTCCATCTGTTTAATATAGCGAATCAGAAAAATCACGACTATGAAGACTCACCAAAGCTTGCTTAGTATTATTTGGAAAAAAGATTTTCTTCAGTATAAATGCTGTTGCCTATACGAACCGACAAGTGTTTCACAGGGACTCGTTGCTTCTGTTTCGATCAGACTTATATATATATATGTGTGTGTGTGTGTGTGTTGGTGAAACAGTATGAAGCAGCTCTCTTATTAAATCAACCATATTGTTTGTGGTCTTCATTTGAGATTCATCTCTCCCCTTTGGCTCTGATAACTGGAGCCCCAGCAACCATGTCATGATAAGCCATTCCTTGAGAAAGCTAAGCCAGGTTGAGAATACCTGTCAGCCGCACACGAATCTGCTTTCTTGCAGTTCGCACTATACCGCATGAGATAACAGAAGCACGAGGAAGGGAAACGGAGCCATATGTATTGTGTTGATGAAAATGCAGTCCAATCCCTATTCTTTGGACCAGCAATGTGAAATATTTCCCCAAATATCCGTGTGCAAACTAGGCTGACTTACTTGTTAGTGAGACTTTATTCTACATGAGGACAAATCTGTTTAACGGATGATGGTTCCACGGCCAACAGTTAGAACTGGAGAGAAAGTGATGCTGCCCAGCTCAAACATCTAGCCCTTACCCAATTCAGAGTCACTTGTGGAGTAACATGGTGATCACGTCATTCTTTTGTGGAGGTAGGCCAGATTCACCTACGTCACGATATTTCCTAAGATCGCTTCGGACCTTTCTTTACGTTTACCAGGCCCCAATGCTCCATATCCTTAGCCGGACGCCACTATCTGTCCGTGCTTTGAAACGATACCCACCTATTTACCACTAAACCATTTTAAGCGTCCGTTGTCCTATGCGCGTACAATTCCGCTTGTCGTAGACTTCAGGGTGGCTTATATCCTCCAGGATACCTAATGAAGAAAAACCCGTTCGCGACAAATAAAAGTTTAATTCGAGCATTCAGAGAGACGAGCATTTATTGAATCAAATGATTACGGTGGTCTAGTCAGCGAGACTAACCACTGATGGTAAACTTCGATGTGCGTCGGTAATAATAGTAGTGCATTTGCAAGGAGGGCGGACGAGCATCACGTATCCATCATGAACAGTTTTCGACTTGTTTAAACGTGCATTGAAGTCAATATCGTTGACGCATATATCAATCGGAATACAACCGTAATCTCACTAGACAAAAGTGCGTGTATTAAAATCGATCAATAGACTACTCTTGGAAATCAGCACTATCTTTGAAGTTTCTTTTACCTGACAATAACAAGTCCTGATGCGATTCCCTTTCCATTCATTCTTATTATTCATCTCGTCAACCTAATCGTAGGGTTGGTTAATCCAATGAAAAAAACCATTTCGGGAGATCGTTTCTCATTCTATGTGAACATTTGTCCACCTATCCAAGCGTGTTCCTAATGGGTAAATAGTCTTCGGAAAGGTAACTCCCTATTCCCAATTTACAAACAGTTATTTTTGAGTATCGGTATCGATCTGAAAGCAGCATTTGATCCAGTCGACCGCTCTAAACTCCCAGGTGACAGAATGTCTGATTGAGAGTAGTTGGGAGACATGGTGTGATGAAAGGCAGTACAAAGAGAGTCCTGGCTAGCGACCGAAGCAAGAATGGGACTCATCCGACCAGAAGCACAGACGCAGCGGCGGGAAGTGCCTCGCGAGACAATGTTGACTGCCACCCGAAACAAGCGAATCGACAATTACAGCCCGACAGACAATCCGCAGCTAACGGGAAAGATACCCACCAAATGCCACAACGTTGGAGCTGTCGATCAAAGTATCTCGCACCGCGATCGGGTCAAACCAGTAGGAATGGCACGCGGAAGAAGAGGCAACGTACGTACCAAAACCAACAAGGAATAACTCACTGAAAGAGGCATGAATCATCCCGCCGCGCGGTTGAGAATTGACTGTATATAATCGAACGCATACTCTGTTTGCTTTTGAATTGGATCAATAGACGTTTTCCTAGCCAGCTCGCCTTCTCATTACAATGGCACTGCTAAGTGAAGATCCAGATAAGTTGCCAGAGTTCCTGGATAGTTTAAGTGCCAGTGTAGCCATATTCCGAATGCTTTGGGCGCCTTCACAATGTAAAATGTTGCTACCGAATTCGGTTGGATCAGCACCCAGACTCACTCTGACTGGGGAAGTAATAGAGCAAGTGGACAAGTTTTGTTATTTGAGCAGCTATATCTCACCCCATGGACGCATCATAGATGAAGTGTCCGCACGCATGCAGAAGGCTCGATTGGCATTGGCCGACTTGAGACATTCGTGGTGTCGTCGCTATATCCGACTGTCTGTCAATGCCAGTTCCGTTATACGGTACAGAAGGAACAGAATAGAAATAGATTGTCGGTGTTCGAACACTGCCGCCTACGTTTCGTTGCACGAGTCCGGCGGAGAAACCGAACAAGAGATGCTGAGGTTAGGCGCAGAGTTTGAGAAAATCGCGGTCGTCCACTGGCACAAGTGGTCGACCTCCATAGACTACTCTGGTTGGAGCATACGTTGCGCATGTCACCAGATAGGTTGCCACGGCGCGCAATGTTTGCCGAGACAGGCAGTGGATGGAAAAAGTTCAAGGGCGGTCAAATGAAGACCTGGCATAGGGGTATGAAAACCTAACCGGGAGACGGGTTCACATAGGTACCATTAGGCCCCCTGGATGGGGACCTCGAAATCATAGTAACCAGTGGTTAGAGACTCTGATTCATATGGCTTAGTGTTGCAAACAGTGTCGCTCATGCATCTGCTCATTACTCTTGCAACCCCATTCTGTACGAATTCTCTATCTTTTCTTTGACTCTTCTCTAATCTTCAATCAACTCTTTTATCCATATAGGCAGCCAAAAGACAGCAACCAAGATCGGCGCATAGGAATGTATGGCTAATGGCTTTAAAAGCTTAAACTAATCGGGATGACAATTTTGGTCCGCTTCGGTGTGAACTGGTTGCGGCCGTGATATCATGCATGACTTGAATGTGATGGATTTGAAATCCAAATCGCGAATGGGTCGCTTAATATGTAATTATGAGGAATTCTAACAACAAGGAAACGCTATTCTAGTTCTTCGCAAGAGTGTGATTAATTAGACACCCTGATAAACTTTGAAGGATTATCAGTTAACATCAATGACTGCTTGTTTATATAATCTATCAGCTCATGTTCGTAGTTGGATGGGCTACAATCCAGATCAGAGCTTGTATCGTCATTGCATGGTTGTTGCTGAAGGAGATTTCACGACACAGTGAAGATTTTCTTCATCGATCATGAGCACAAGCATTGTAAAGTAAATTCCATTGTGCACGTGGACTGAAAAGCCCGGCACTGCTGTACAGCCGCCAACAGTGTAGAATCCACCTATTTCATTGAAAATCAAACCTGATGGGCCTCACCGGTAGGACGCGACTGTATTATTCATCTGATCATCGGGTAGCTAATCAGACTGTATTTGCTTGTCCTTACAAGCTTTCCGTGAACA